AAATATATATAAATATATACCACATTTATTATAATCTTTGATTTTACCAGTTGACAAAAATATACAAAAAAAATATTCCGAATGTTTCATAATATAATTTCCCCTACAAATAGCACACCTATTCCAGCGAATCAACGTTTATCCCCCGTAAACGGAGGAAAAAGACTTGAAAACATCGGTAATTGTTTACATCCTTCGTTTGTTTCATTTTCAGGCACATATTTTAAATAATTCATTTTTTTTATTATTTTACTTTATATATTTGTAGTACAAAACTAACCTATCTATGTACAAAGTATTAATTCGACATAGGGCAAAACAACGGTTAATTTTAATTTAGTACTAGATGACTTTACAAAAATTTGAGAGCCAAGAACGAACAGTGTTTATAAACATCAATATAATATGGTAAAAAATAACGTTTGAAGGTAATGTTTCACATGAGTATATGATTGCCGTTGCCGCCCTACTGCTCAAAAAAACGTCGAGCCGAGTCGTTTTTTTTTTTTGTTTTTTAACAACAAATATCATTATTCAACTTATATACAGAAAATTATAAATTAGTAGATAGTACTTAAGCTTTTACGCAGGGTGTGGCATCTTCTGCTGTTAGACAATAATTTTTCAGTAATTTATCGATTTTTTTTTTCTTTTTTCGAAGCAATGAAATCTCGACAAAGTGAAAAATTTCATGATGATATGTTTTTTGTGTTTTGAGCCATTTCGTATTTCATTTTCTTTATTCGATGCTTGGTTTCACAGCCGAACATTGTTTGAATTTGTGCTTCGATTTACATAACGTGTCGTAAGCGTATTTCTTTACGAAGGAACAATCTTCGTTGGACATTTTCTCTTTTGTAAAAAAACGCTTGTGCACATAACCCGTGACTTGATGAATCAAAAATCACTTTTAATATCAATTAAAAGGAAAACATTCCGAGCTTGCAACAGAGTAGAGACGTGTAGACACCACTACGCGAACGATATACTAATTTGATATCGCTGACAAATAAAGAGGCGCTTGAAGAAGATTGAATTTTCGAGAAGGGAACTTTTCTTTAGCATTGAAAATTCGCAATAATTATAAAAATATCACGGATTAGCGACGATTACCCCATTTTTTTGTCATTTACTTTCTAACTATATCTCACAAGAGCATCGCGTTAGGGACAACAGTACTAGCCCTTATTATAACGCGAGTACAACTTTACCTATAAAAAAGAACCACTTATGTTTGTACATATTTTATATATATATATATGTATGTATATATTTCACAGGACAAGCATTAATCGAAATCGCTATTTCATCCCTTTCTTCCACTTATTTACAATATTCATTAATTCCTAATGAACGACGAACATCGCAACGCATGTCCTCGGCGGAAGTCTCGTGGTATAGAAAAATGCAAAAGTTTCTTCGCTAAAACTAGTGGAATGAAAGAGATAATATATTGATTAGCACTTTTTGTATTGCTCTTGAATAAATATAATGACTGAAAAAATGTGAAAAAAGACAAGAAAAAAAAAAAAAAAAAAAAAAAAGAAAACACTACGTATAGTCAGATATATCACCCATCATTTAAACAAGCACAGCAACTACTTAGACATATTTATCAAACAATTTGTAAGCGAATGAAAAAAGAACATTAGATCATTCATGAACAATATTATAAGCATACAACGTTTGTAGGTACAGTTAATTAAACATTAACTTATACCAAGCAAAGAGTAAAATAAAGACTTTCAATCCAAAAAAAAATTTTTTTATTCCACCTACATACACTTAATAAACTTGGTTTCTTGTAATGTATAGATCGGACAATTAGTGCATCAGGATAGCCATCGTAAAACTAAATTGACAGATATTTAACACAATTTTTCACATGATTGATTTCTCTTTATTATACTGAGTTAAAAATAAAGAAAAAAATTAATGCAGTTTANATTATGAACACAAGATCAAGCACTTCAGATTTCTTTTAGTACAAACGTTGAAAGGAGTTGTTTAAGGTATCGAGGTTCGTTCGCACGCAAGCCAAACCGGCAAAAACACCCACATTACATGAAAGGTTTAACTTATACATATTGTCGGAGTTACTTCAGATCAATATATTAAAATTAGTAGATATAGTCAGTAATTTAAACTTTAAAATTTTTGATTTTTATGCTGTAATTATTTGTTTTTAGAAAAATTTATACAATCTACGTTTGACTGCAGTAAGTATCGAGTTTATTCGTCCGAATAAGAAGATGTAGAAGAGAGCCTTTTTTCATGCGAAAATTACTATATTCCTTTTGCTAACTACAACCACCTCAATCTGCTGATGCAGTTAATAAAAATTCATAGTGTGCGTTGAAATTGAAAAAAGTCTATTATTTTACACAATGGTGCTATACGATAATGCTCACTTTTACACAGCTTTCGAGAATAAACAGATGCTCGCCTCGTTATATTTACACCATGATTTTCGTCAACAAATCTTTTTCTAAAAATTTCGCCGATTCCTTTGTGCTTTCGTGCTTATCACAAGTTTGTAAAAAGCTTTTTTTTTTTTTTCGTAACCTACGACCATAGGGGAAAATATTGACGCAATCGCTGTCGACCGAAAAGGAAAGAAAGAAAAAAAAAAGCTTCAAATTTCAACCGTGCAAACAACGATCCATTGCATATCCTTGTGATCAACAACAAAATTAATCTATTTATAAAACAATCGATGCATCAATAACATTGCCGGTCGTCCCGAGTCTTCGAGGAAATCGGCGGACCAGCCTCCAAACGGAACACGTTGTCACAACGAACACCGCGAGAAGGTCGGCAATTCGCAACAAAAAAGGCACGGCACAAACAACTATATATGTAGACCTGATCTTCGTCCCATTCGCACTACCTATTATTTTTTGCACTGTCCTCCATAGATTTTTATTATGTGTGTACGCACGCATCAACGTTTCATCCCTCCACCCCACCGTTTCGCCAGCAGAGGACACTCGCGTGCACCCTCCTCGTCCCTCTTTCGACCCAAAGGGCCCAGTATTCCCTTCGAGGAAAAGAAAAAAAAAAAAAAAAAAAAAAGGTAAAAAGAAAAACGAAGAGCGCGCCTCGCCGCACTTGCGGAGATACCGGTGACCCAGCACAACTGCGTCACCCAATGCCTCCCGTTTTTAAAAAATATAACTTCTCGATTGCACGTATAGTGATAATAATAATGATAATAATAATAATCATATGATTTTCCAGGTCTTTCAAACGCCGAGTCTCGCTCATGACGGAGTGTCCGTTCATTAGTCGCTCGCCGCCACCGCCGCCACGGCCGCGGCCTTCCTCAGGTGGAGCTCGGACGCGGCGATGCTCTCACCCTTGACGTAGTAGTCGGCAGCCTCGCGCCGCTTCACGCATCCGTTCGGCACTGCCTCGGTGCTGCCGTTCACCACCTTTCCGTTGGCCAAGACGCCGTTGCTGCAGCTGGACGCGGCCGCCGCCTTGGCCGCGAGGGCTGCCTTTTCCGCTGCCACTTTGGCTGCCAAAGCTGCGGGACAGAGGACAAAATTGGTTACACCATGGGAACACCCGGGGTGAAGGGATACGTCGACGCGGCTCGAGCGCTCGGCTTATTCTTGCTCAATTTCAACTAATGCCGTTCTGCAGGATATTTTGCAAACCATACACTATACGTATACCAATCGACCGGCTCGGTTACGTAAAACTGGATCTTTTCAGAGTATAGGCTACAGCTCGCGCCGGAGTTCGAACGACCACGTGAACGAATTTCTAAATTAAACTTTACTAATTCTCATTACAATGCTGATAAATAGTTTGGTATTTAATAAATGGTAGCTTCATAACTTATTGTAGAATACTTTTACGTTGCTACTTAATATATGTTACACGCACTTCACGCGACCTTCATTACTTTAACTATTTTTATTATCACTTGTGATTATTTAATAGGCATGCAACACTCCTAAAAAAATTTTTTGTTTTCATTTCATCGCTTATATTTTCGTCTTAGCAAACCGATAATAAATCTTATCTGTTCGGCCGTTATGTTACTACCAATTATGTATCAAAAGATAATTTATGACACTTTTACTTTTTTAAAACTTAGGCATCGTGTATTAGAGTCATAGTTCCATTCATTTAATTTAATCTCACATTAACATTATTTATATAAAACTTTCAAGTTTTGTTGTTACTTTTGAAAGGTCAAACAAATAGAATAATATGTTCTAATAATCACACAACAATCAAAGAAGCCACATTCACGTGACAATCAGTATTTAGCGATAGGAAATAAGTAATGAAACGAAAAGCTTCCATCGCGTGCACTTTCGCCGAAAAATTTCAGTCCCGCATGAATACGGTGATGGTTGAAAAAATTAGCAAACAAGCGCTTACCAGACGCCCTCTTGGTTTTTTGCGCGTAGCTCTGCTGGTAGAACTCGTTGAAGAGGAAGAAGAACATGACGGCGTGCATGCCGATCCACCAGACGAAGGCCTTCGGGTAATTGCAATCGATGAAGAGGAGCTGGAAGGCGTGGATCATGATGGCGATGAACTGGGTCATCTGGAAGGCCGTCAGGTACTTTTTCCACCAGAGGTACGGCTGGACTTTCGGTCCAAAGGCAGACAACAGGTAATACGTGTACATGACCACGTGGACGAAGGTGTTGAGTAGCCCGAAGAAGGTCGAGTGGCCGCCTGTTGATACAAATATATTTTTTTTTTTTCTTTTTATTTCATTTTTTTAAATCTTTTCACGTACAAATTACAAGCATGAAGAAACCCGATATATCGACGAGATTAAGCCTACACGATCATTACAATATACAACTCGGAGAAAAAAAATTACTACTTCATAAACACTAGTTTGAGATATAGCGCTTATCATTTTTTTTTTTTTTCGAATTTTTGTGGGTGTCGAACGCGTGTATTTAAACGCGATACACCGAGTTATGAAAACTCTTTTTGAGGCATATAGAAATTTTAAATGCCTAATTGGTTTAATTATCCAAAGATATCGCCTACTTTCTAAATATTGCTCCACACCACGTTTTGCCTCAAAAATAACACGAGCATATCAATTACACGACTGGCACCTATTAGACTCGTTATCGTATAATGTATGCTTGTAGCGATAATATCGGAGTGCTTTTAACAGAGACATTGGTATGTCATTACGATTCGATGTACGGATATTTATAGATATAAGGTAAGTTTAGTTATTTTGCCGAAAAACATGGATCGATCAATGAATCTTTATTCGTCACTTGAAACAGTTAAAAAAATATTTTTTGTACTCAATCAACGGAAATACTTACGGTGGATAAAAAAAAAAAAAATACTATTTTCATGCTAGCGTCGTACGCTATTTACTTTCGCAGTAAAATCCGCACGACGCGTTTAATTGGTGGTTGAAGGAAGAATTGTCGGAGGAGGAGAGATTCAAGATTTTTTTTTTTTCTTACCGGGTGTGAACTTGACGCCGAACCAGACGGACATCGGCATACAGCCGTGATGAATGACGTGAAGCGTGGACACGTGATCGTTCTTTTTTCGCAGCACGAAGAATATCTGAAAACACCAGGACAATTTTTTTTATTTATCGATCCAAAAATACTAGGCTATAAGATCAACATAGCTTTTTAATGGCACTGCATCATCGTTATTTTTCTGCTTTATAGGGAAAATAATGTTGTTTGTTGACGATTTGAATGATCCATCTTTTTTTTACGCGTAAACTCGGTTGAAATTTATTCATGATGGAAAAAAAAAAAGAGTTGTAAAGAATTCTCCGAAACAGAAAACACGAGCGAGTGAAAAAAAATTAAGTACAATGTAATAAAAATAAATATATGCTCACCGTATCCATGAACTCCGTGAATTTAGAGAAGTAGTACCACCAGCTCACGCGAACCATCTGCAGTCCGTGAGATGAACAAAAAATCGTTTAGTACGAATGAAATTTATGTGACAAAAAAAAGTGCAATATCAGCATTCGTGTGACAAAAATTTTTTTTTTTTTACAAACAAGTTTTTCGCAATTTCGTTATGAATACGGTTAATTATTGGTTTTGCATTTGAGTTGAGTGCCAAAGAGCGATGGTAAATCAGCTCGTCTGACAAGTCGTACACGTGAATTTTTTTTATTATTATTATTTTTTTTTTTTATTGTTCTCATACGATTTGACTGACTTGTTTTTTTTCTGTTTCAAGTTTTTACCTTTGCTAAATAGTTTATACATTCATTTATTTTAATTCTGTAATTTCCTTATAGTTATGTTTTTTCCTTACCGAACAGTTTTATGGCATGAACATAAAAAAAAAAAAATTAAAATTTTTACAGCAGATATAAATTTTTTTTTTTCAATTAGAAACCAAAACAGGAAGAACCGCAGTTCACACTTTGTTTTTTTTTTTAAATTGCATAAATTGCACAATAAATATACATTGGTACATGTACCTGATAAAGATACGCTAATCAAAAAGACAAAAATCTTGTTTTCATTATTTTTTCCCATAATCATTAAATTCAAAATAGCACGTGTAATGTATACAGCTCTATTGATATGCCACGCGTATCAATGTACGTGCAATCTGGTAACAGAGTTATAAAATACAGACCGAAATCAGTTACCGTGACCTTTTTTCAATAGTCGTCTGTGAGTAATTATATTAACACGGATGTGAGAAATAATTCATTGGGTTGACAAGTCATTTCTACAGCGCTTCTGTTTTATGTTGTTAATTCAGTTAAACGCAATCGATGTATTGGTGCGATACTGTCCTTCGACATGTGTCAATATATGCGTGTATGTTGTGGTGTGTCAGGGATACTGACAAATTTTATGGGTAAATAAATTTGAGACGTTTGTTAATTCGCTAAAATCATCCAGGTATACATGTAAACTTTGAATATGGTCTCTACGTGTATTCAATAATAAAATTAATGAATTAGTTTAAATTATTTAGATTTCATGCTATTTTATCCCGTATTAGATATCCTACAAAAATGTTTGAAAAAATACTGTAGTTATAACTAAATGGTTAATAGAATTTTATTTTATTTTTTTTTTTTGGAAATTCATGTAGCCATGCGACATAGACGATATATTAAAACCGTTTCCTCTTACCATTCAACGAAAATTCGACTCTTTAATAAACTACTCGCGCTAGACATTTAAACTACGCGCGCCGAACTTTTAGAATATTCATAAAAAAAAATTTAAAAAACCGGCTCAAAAAAGTATGTGACAGAACAGCCGCTTGAAACTCTTGTAGTCGCGTACACGCGGTTTCAGTCGCGAATTCACCGGTAAGTATATGTGTACTACTAGGTCGCGCCAAAATCGGCTGCTACTACTACTTTTACAAGAATCTTAAATGTTATGTCATCGATTGGCGCAACGCCCGCACGTGCTTGGCTTGTACTATATATACAAGTATATGTATACATCGGAACTCTATAGTGATCCGGATCGATGCAATATCGTTTAAGTTGAACTATTTTTTCTTCTCCCCCCCCCCCTCTCTCTCTCGATTCAACCTGTTCTTCGCTAGTTTATTCACAATTCATCTATAGATCGGATCTACTACTTAATCACTGCAGCAATCAATGTCCCAACGCAATTTTTTTCATTTTTGGGTATTAAACGTATGAAATAAACATCGAGATACTCGAATCCATCATTCGGTCGAAATTTTAACGAAGGACGTAGACGTGCTAAAGGAGAAACTTGGAAAAAGCGAGTACTGTCCATTGACAAAGATATTACTGCACGATCGAGTGACTTTTCACCCAAAACCTGTACCTATGATGTATCATACGCTTACAAACGTGTCTCATGTAATTAGAAGTAGGTCAACATGCAATAGCACAAGCTAAATAACACGAATGTGGGCTCCTAATTAATTGGCCTTTAGGTCTACCATGTATACTAGTATCGGCAACATTGCCGTTCGTATATATCCAAGTCAAACTGCAACTTTCGAAATTCATCAAATGTTGTACAAGCGGATAATAGAAGCCGATCGAATCATTGTACCATAACGTCAAATTTGATGATAATCAATAGTTCGCCTTGATATTTTATTTTCTGCTCAAAGACATTTTATCGTACGACTCTTGATGTATATATATGCCCTGAATCTTTCATATACACTCACGTGTTGCCAGTGGACAATGTGATAATGTGCAAATTATATTATAATGTGAAACACTGTATTGATGGTATATAAGTACACACATGCGTGTACGTTCGTAACGTACATGTAAAAAAGCTTGAAAGAGGAAAAATCCACGAGGCCTTCTAGCCACGAATATATATATTATGTATATTACAAAGCTATAGAAAATATTGTTATTCGCTCAATATTTTATGAGACACTGATACGCCGTACTGCAAAGTTTTATCGTGTATTTATTAACCACAAGAACCAACTGTTGGACAAAGTTGTGTCGAATAGGGTATTAAGAACCATTACGTACGAACAAGGTAATTATTTCGTCAATTGTAGAAAAAAAAAAAAAAAAATGATTCTACGTATTGACCGGGGAAAAAACGTGGTAATGAACATTTTTCAATATTGCGTAACAACGATAATTTATCATCACTCACTTGTTCTCTCTCTCTCATATTTTCATGATGAAATTGCGAGATGAGTTATTAATAAATTAACTACAAGCAATACCTACCCGTAATACTTGGGGCCGATCGCTGTAGTCTACAGGTTGACACCTCAAAGAGTATTCCCCCGTCAGCCATCCGGACATTCCTATCTGCAACCACAATAGCCCAAAGGCCATCGAACTATCATTAGAAATTATTTTCAATATTCTTATAACTATTATTATTATTATAATGGTATTATTATTAATATTAATATTATTATAGTTGTATTGCTATTTTCGTGGTGTAGAGCTAGATAGTAATAAAAAGCATTGAGCTCGTGCTACATCGCTTGTTTGTTGCAGCTTGCAATCTCCACCACAGCAATGAAACACGAGGATACCGCCCACCGCGTTTATTCCATTCATTTGTGATCTGTTGTTGTATCATTTACATTTTGCTTATTATTACTACCACTATTCTATTGATCAATTATGATGGTACACACACCTTCGATGTAAAACAGCAGCTCATGTTTTTTCATCGCCAATTTAAACTGCTTTAAAGTAATTTATATTTATATTAAACGGGTGAAAAAAAAAAAATTTCGTCTATACATTGTGTATGTTTAATGAGAAAAATTATACACTTCCTCCAAGCAAGCACTCGTTCTTCCAAAAATATTTCTCCACTCGTACCTGTACAGCAGACTTTGTTCTCCAAATATTTTCATTTGAAGTTTTGCAATGCGTTTCTTTTTTATCGTAGATGCTATATACACGAGATCTAAAAATGGCAATCGGAAGCGTACACTGTACGTGTTGAGATTACAAAACTCCAGAGGTGATTATCTTACCATGTACAGGAGGCGCTCTTCGAGACCAAAACGTTATCAAAGAAAAAAAAGTGACTGTACAGCCATACGTTTTCGATGACATATAGTTCGTAAATCTGCCTTTTTTTTTCATTTTTCTTATTCAAAAAGTACGCTCGATCGATCGAATTTTTTTTTTATTTTTCCTTAGCAATGTGTAAGTACGAAAGCCAAACAAAAGTGAACTCACATCCGATTGAATAAGTACCCTCTTGAGTTCATCGGTACGATCGGAACAATGCACATTTATGCAGCTCCCGATTGGAATATCTAAGGTCCCGAGCCTCGACACCTCGAGGTCATCGAAATTATTTCTGGCGGGCAAATTGTAAATTTTCGTTCTGTACTTTCGCTTCCAAGGTTGCTGTTTTCGACGTGCGCTTTTATAAACACGATTTCGTCATTCAATGCAAATGATACTAAATTTACTTTTGACGACGAATAACAACGAAAGTTCGAATCATCAAACAGCAGGACTGGGGCAACGCGCGCAAAAAATCGAGCAAAAAATGGTTGTTAACCCAAGAGCTGCCGTCCAAACTTTGCGATCACGCAAATATTGTTAATGCAAAATTTCTCGCGGGAGCAGACGTCAGAATCGTCCTTTTTGACACTTGGAAGAGAAAACTAAAACATCTTGAGAGTACTTGAAAAATTCGTTCTCTCGATTAAGTACTTATTTTTTTTATTTCCATCCATCGATTTCCAAAAATATATTGTACACTTATTAAAACTGTTTGCACATAATAATAACAATAACAACAATAATGATAATGATAATAATAATAATAATAAATTGTGTAAAAGTGCTTGCTTTTCCTCAACCTTCTGCACACTTAGCTATAACCAAAAATACATTAGAGCTGAAAAAAGTGAGCGCATGATCGGTTCTTCCATCACCACTAAAAAAAAGGCAATAATAACACTCACCTCGTGAAAAAGCCACGCCGAAAAGAGGACTTGGAGTGAATTGTAGACTATGAGAACGTTCTTGAACTGAAAGGGTTTCCTGTTCTCCATGAGCCTGGGCCCGAGGACCTTGACGCCGTACACGTAGCTCAGACAGATAAAGAGCGTTGGAAAGGGCGAGCTCATCAGCAGCCAGTCTGTCGTTCGCTTGTCTGCAACGGGACACAAAAACAAAGTCACACCTTTTTTTAATTTTTTTTTTTTTCCAACACTTTTATATTATACTCTTGTATGTATTTACATGGTTGTATAGTTTCTAAAAATACCCATCGGGCTAAAGAGCATGGATAAAAAAAAACGCAATATATCTGGCCAAAAGAAAGGTGCCGTTACTACACGTGCGCTCATCCGATTTCCTCGTGCTGACGCTATCCCGAGAGAATAAAAATACACGCGGTTTCAGTCGCGAATTCACCGGTAAGTATATGTGTACTACTAGGTCGCGCCAAAATCGGCTGCTACTACTACTTTTACAAGAATCTTAAATGTTATGTCATCGATTGGCGCAACGCCCGCACGTGCTTGGCTTGTACTATATATACAAGTATNAAAAAAAACCATATACACCACATCAGGCGTTGTTTTAATGCCAAATTTTTGTCGTCTAGTGTGTACATATAATATACAGACGATACGGAGGAAATGTGGCAGTGCGCGTACTTTTCGGAAGGGAGGCCGCCGACGACGCGACAAGCAACTCGCAGACAATCGGCATCAAATTGAAATTTCAAATTTCAAGTGCACTGCACCGCAAAAACAACAAGTCACCGCTTCAATTCTGATGGGAGCCGAGAGCTCGAAAAAGAAAAAAATAAAAAAATAAAAATAAGCAAATCCAGCATCCGGTTTCAGTGGCGTCATTCAAACCACCTCTGTGCGTACATATATTATACCTGCGGTGGAAATTCCCGGGCTACAGTGATCCTCCGTATAAATGTGCACTCTGTTACACTCGCACATCACCTCTCGAGAGTCATCGGGGTAAATCGACTCACGTCGCGGGTAGACATGTGTTAAAACGACATCAAGGGCGCGGATTGTTTTCTCCGGAGGTGAAAGGGAATCCGAGACGAGCGCGCAGGGACGAAGACTCCTATCTTATATTATGCTCTCGCGGGGGGTTTCATTGCGTACATTATTTATTGTACCTGCACCAGTGGGTTTTCGAGATATTCAGGCACAATTTGCTTTGTTTTTTTTTTTTTTTTTCTTTCATGTAGCAAAGTATAAGAGAGAAAGTTGAACAAAAACGATGTTACACGCTGAAGGGAAATGAAGAGGCTCTTTCATTATTTGCGGAAACCGAAAGGCCACATTTATACTGTTGGGGGGGAGGGAGGGAAAAAAATAAAACCGGCATTCGGGGAATCGGTGAAAATGAGGGAAAAACAAAAAGCTATCGTACGTAACCATGATACCCAATGAACGACATGTTAGGCCAGTTCCCGGCAGTAAATAAAGTTTCCAGGTAGCGGGTGGATGGATATGCTCATCGGTTGTTTGTTCTACCGCAAAAAAAAAGCGCCGGACAAAGGAGACGAAACCGAGAGTCGAGTTTGGCGAGGACCTTGCCCTCCGTGCCCGTATATACCGGTCGGTCAACTTTGCGCGAAAAAGAGGAGTTGACACTATCACTCGGGGGAAGCCCCCCCCCCGCGGGCCTGTCATTAAGTTTCTTGGAAATTTTGACCACTGTTCCGGAAAGTTGGCGCAGCATCGTCACCGTCCAGCGGCGATTATTGACTCTTCTTTGTCACGGCTGGCTACGTGCGAATACGAAATCACGGGGGTCTACGACACGCGATTATGCGAATGTTTACATGGAAATTGCTCGTCGTGTGTTTAACGCCTTTGTTTGTTTTTTTTTTTGTTTTGTTTTATATCTTGGACCGTAATATCTCGCAAACGCCTAGAGTGTCAAGATGTGCTTCTATAATGACCTTTTAAAGAATCGTCGAGATGCAAACGCAGAGACGCGCTATATTATTTTGTGCAATAAAACGCAAGGCGTATATACAATATGAGGCCGAAACTTTGGTGAGCGTGTAACTTTCGTTGCAAGTGTCGCGACATCCATTGAACACACGCAACTCGGTATAACACCGTGCCAAGCAAGTATACAATACAATACACACACATGTCGCGATGCTCGTGCTAACGTCCTTGATCAAGAACTTGTGCTGCATATCAATGCGATGCCGTCGTCACTCCATACGTTCGCATACGTTGTGCATTAACTGGATGCGGGGATATAATATGCAAATAGTATGGGTCCTCGAAAAAGGAGATCCAGCTAAATCGCGTCATCCGCGGTTTTTCGTGTTCACGTGCTTACACGCGTATAAGACTGTGATGTATATCATCGGAAAATTAAAAAGTCGTCGCGTATGCGCGGGTGACATCAGCCAATTTACGCGAACGCAGATATAAATGTACACAAAATTCACATGCGAGAAGGGAGGGAGAAAAGCCGCAAAGTCACTTTGGCAAACAAGCGATGAGCCGTACGTTAGTTACTTACCTACTACCAGAACGTATACATGTATATACAAGGTGTATCATCTTGGGATGTTAATCGCGGGAAAAAGCTACAATGGTATGGAAATGAGAAATCTCAATTCTGGAAGGCTTACGCATGATGAGGTGCAGTAACGAACAAAACGATCAGAGAGGGGGGGGGCGAGTGACGCAAACCTGGGATATAGGAGACTTAGCTTTTGGCGCAAGTTAAGTATAGAAGGACGATTCCGAGCCTACGTATATTATGTACAATGCGTATATATAGGTGCACAGGATGTTTGTTTAAACGCACTTGAGTATGCTAAATAGGTGAGCGCGAAACCACTGCATGAATGTGATGTATATATTTTATAACGTAGTATTTATTTGCACTGCGTCGAATGCAGTGGGTTCTATCATTAATTTCGTTGACGGTACTTTCTGTATGGGACCTATCGTCGCAAAATCGAAAAAAAATCGGCAGACCTTGGGGTCCCAAAAATCGTCATCCATGAAATAGGGATTATTTGGAAAACAATAAACTCACCTGCGTGTCTGTCGAGCATCTCGTGTAACCGATCCACGTAGTGCATGACGATGGACATTTTGTCGAGGGACGAGCCTTCCGGCCGGGGTCTGCGCAGGTGTGCGGCTCAGCCGAGACTTCCACCGGAGCCTGTGTATTATTTCAGACGCCCGGAAACGCAACTCTTCCTGAAACAAAAATCATATACACGCATTGAATTGACTTCACCAATAACCCTTTACGATTTATATATGGCATCGCCAAATGTATTTATGTTGTTTAAAATTTTAAACACATGCACGCACGTTTTCTTTCATCGCGCCATTGTATTATTCCTCTTATGTCCGATCGCTAACGAGAGATGTAGGTATACGCGTTGCATACGTACTTGCGATGCATATACCATCAAAATACACGAAAATTCTGTGCAAATTTCTAATTTCTCCTAAAAGTAGACAAAAGAATAGTTAAATATATACCGATATATTGGCAGGCACGACACAACATTGCACACCATAACAAACGATCCGCGAAATTCTTTTATCTCTCCACCACAGGTGTACAATTAATGTATCTCTGAAAAATGCGCGCATACGCAAGCGAACGATACGTGATCGGGGGCGTGTGTATTACTTAACCAGAGAGTAGGTATATTATATATAGCTACTCTTCTCCGCATAATGTGTTTTGCAGGAGGAGCCGACCGTACAGTGCCGATTGCCGATCCTCCGATTTGAGGTTAGGAGACTCGGGAAATCGAGGTCGCCAAGTGTGTTATTGTATACGTATGTCCAGGGCACACACACACACATATATATACACGATCGTTCGGTGAGACGCGCACCGAAAACTTCATCGAAATCGAAAGTCGCTACCTATTGTATGTACCGTATACCGATGTATGTGTACAGGACTCGGCTCTCGACCGGCCGGTCGTCCACTCGACGAGACCCGACATTGACATCGAAAATCACCTGTGCGCGCGTTACGGAATCGAGGCTAAAGTACATGTGTGTGCCGATGTACGCGTGAGGTTTATGTTTATGGGCACATAAACCACCTCGCGCCGGTAACGGTCGGTTGGATAACCATCGGGCTACCGCGTAGGTATTTTTTTTTTTTTTTTTTTTTTCACTTTTAGCTCTCCACAGTTTCGTCTGGTCTCTTTTTTCTTCGACTGATGCGCCTCGAAGAGCTTGCGAAGGGGGTTGATTTCAAATGATACTATCGCATAGTCATTCAATTGAAGCTTTTACTAACGAAAACATTGATACGAGAATCGATTGAACAATGTATCTACTTTGTGAGAGATGGATAGCTCATTAACAAAAAAAAATTAGTGTTAATTAGGCAGAAGGAGTACACGCATACCATCTAGATAATAATGTAAAAGAAAAATATCCTAACAAGGTACGCAACTCCTTTGAAGAGGCGAATGCATGCCTACCACTGGGACCTGAGACGTGTGATAAACTTTTTCCGTGCATGTGAACCGACCTCAATACGACGAATTACGCTTTTGAAACGTGCGAACAAACCTTTTTTTTTAATCTAATCTTCACATATGATCAAGTATAGTCACCTACCTGTAGTTTCGTTAAAATTGAAAGTTGGATAAACTTCTATTTATTACTTATATTATATCAAAAAAAATAAAAACACATACAAGGGAGTACAGCTAATATTTATAAATGTTGCGGGGGAGTCCAGCACGTGTCCTGCATATGTATATACAGTAAATAAAGAGTTCGGTATATTTCAATCGATCACAATTTTCAAAACTTTTAACTACTTGTCACATCAGCTGCGGTCGCAACTGACTATTTGCCGCTGCCATTGTTACTGTATACACACATGTGCGGGTAAGAAAAAAAAAAAAAAAAAACTCGCCAAGGCCAATTAAAATCCATAGACGCCGATGTCACATCTGCAGTGCCGTTGTTTCAGTGTTGACATGTCTGCGCTTTTGCTCTCGATATAGATACGCTCTCGTACTCGGTTGATTTTTATGAGAAATTTTTAGATCAATCGTTGGGTGTGGAAATAAAAAGAGGAGGACTCCAGGTCCCATGACGAATATGAGAGATGCAACAATAGCATGGGGTTTTTTCAATTTCGAGCGCCGATTCGTCGAATCATCCGTGTACACTCTGACGAGGGCGTCGATTGTGTGCTACGCCGCTCTGTATATATACATCAGCTCTTTTATGCAACAGCATCCGTCTGCCGGTAGCTCCTCGTCGGCGTCACCAGTCACGCGAGCAATTACGCAAGGGAGCAATAAAACACGAGAGAACGGGAGCAAAAGAAAAAAAGACTCCCGAAGAAACAAACCCATACATGTGTCATTTGGATCATTTACTTGCTGTAATAATTCATTTCTATACATGCGCTTCCATCGTACTTTGGTTTATCTTTAAAATTGTGTCGTTATGATAATTTGCTCTTGTCTCGTATATATACGCGGCATAGATGAAATTTTTTTATCCTCAATCACTTGAAATACATGCAACGGCTTGAAAAATCATTTTTTTTTTTTTTTTTTTGTTTTTTTTTTTCGGTGTATCTCGATCGACAAAGTGTGTCCCACAAAGTGTTTCGTCACGCTCGGTTGTTTGAATGTGCATTACTTGGAGTTACGAGCAAGTGCGCGAGACAATCGTCCGTATCTATCTCTTTCCATTAATTTATGCGATCCATCTACATTAGCGAGATATCAGTATTCCCTCAGTTAGGTGTTGATAAAATAAAAAAAAAAAAAAAAAACTATCTAACTTGAGACAAACTCTTGTACGAGCTTGAGAAGCTTAATTAACAAAAGTGCGAAGGGTTTTTTACGAGTATAATGATAAGCTAGGTGCTACTTGGCATATCAAGCAAAGTATACAGGATGTAGAAAAATACATGCGTGATAATTTTGATGATTAAAACTGGCTATATAGGCGATGGGTTCGACAAGTAGATAGGTACATTGACAAGGTCGCAAAACGATCTCTGCTCTTGGATATCGAGTCACACGGGAGTGTAGCACCAGAACAAGTGATTCTTTTCGACTCTTCCGGCTTGACGTTAAGTAACGGAGGCCAGAGGGAAATGAGAGATCTGTCGCTGTACCGATCGGAGATCTATAACTCACGTTACAGCGAAAGGATAAATAAAGCTATAAAAGAATCATTTCGCCGATCGACTCGAAAATTCACCTATACGGGTGATACAAGAATTTACCGATTTTATGTGTGAACGTATCAAACTGTGATTTGTAAAAAAATAAAAAAAAAATCCTGCACACCTACGATTTACAATCGAGTGTATATTTATACATTACACAAGTTTCGCGGCGCCGCACGTATATATAAGTACTTGCAGCTCTGTGTGTTTGATTAACTTGGAAGGAAAAAAAAAAAAGGAAAAAATCACCATCACACGCGATAAATAACGTAAACAGCGAATCGGAGCCGCGACTCTTTTTTTTAACCTTCGCCGTTGCGCGCGATACCTATACATATATACACGGCATTGTTGCAAAACGCACACACGTGAGTGTATATGTATATATACGACCATCGAAAGAATGTAATGCACGCGCCGCGCATATACGTTGTACACATATAACACATGTAGGCGTGTTCGCATGTATATATATATTGCAAAAACACCGGCTACTGGTACCATCAAGGCCTGTATATAGCAAACGGTGTCAGCTGAGTTTCACCGAAATTATATAATCAGCAAGTATAGTTGAAAGAAAGAAAGAAAAATAACACGACGAAAGAAGACGCGCTCGCGCGAGAGAGACGGTACATAGAGAGCGCCAAGTGTGAATCAGACACTGCCGAAGCCGTCAAGCATAATCTGAGATCTTCGGCTGTAACGAGGCGCTCGATCACCGTACAAGTATATTGTAAATGACTAAAAGAGGCGCCGGTGGCGGACAAATAAATGTTAGAAGAGTCCCATACACACACACACACACGTTAACTTTATTTTGACTTATCCAATAAACTCTACATGACTCGCGAAAGATGCAGGCAAAAGTATATACAATATTATACTGTACATCACTACCGATTTTTTCATATTCGGTATGTTTTATTGCGAGTACGTTTGCAATGACATAAACAAAATCTATATATAGTTTTTTTTATTTTTCAGATCCCTACGTGAGAGAGTTCGGGGCCCAAAAGAGGAAGTTTCGTGTAAATGACTAAAAGAGGCGCCGGTGGCGGACAAATAAATGTTAGAAGTGTCCCATACACACACACACTCGTTAACTTTATTTTGACTTATCCAATAAACTCTACATGACTCGCGAAAGATGCAGGCAAAAGTATATACAATATTATACTGTACATCACTACCGATTTTTTCATATTCGGTATGTTTTATTGCGAGTACGTTTGCAATGACATAAACAAAATCTATATATAGTTTTTTTTATTTTTCAGATCCCTACGTGAGAGAGTTCGGGGCCCAAAAGAGGAAGTTTCGTCCCCCACACCTTGAATAACGCGAAACAAGCCGGGAACCAAAGGTCCTCGGTCACGCGAAGTCGATTTGCTCGAGGCGCCAATTCCGCGCTGGACGATCGTCCCTGTACGTATGCCTACTCTTCACGATCATCGATTTGCGCGTTCTTATTTAGAAATGCGCGTAAGTATACCTACAAGAGAAGAAAAAAATAATCCTTATATGCTCCTGACGATGTGGGGACACGTAATTTGGGACGAGCTAATCAACAGGGCACGTTGCCTAACAGCGTATTTATTACGTTTTGTTATGCAAGGTTGTACGTACCGTTTGACGAATGAGTGTGGGATGTGTTTGGACAGGTAAGTTATAAAAATTGAGGATCCTGATGTGTGTATAAGCACGCGCCACGGCTTTGTTTGCCCACAATCGACTCGAGACTCTTTCGGCATCCGGGGGAGAAAAAAAATATTCGACAAAGCTTTGCTGTTTTCCCTCTCCTGATGCGGGAGATGGAAGAAATGTATCAGCGCGAGTCGAGTGTCCCGAGCAGCAGGTACGATGCTTGAGGGACAGCGTGTACCTATACGACGAAAAAGTCTTGATTTAGTTGTTGACAATGTGTTTTTTTTTGTTTTTTTTTTTTTTTGTTTTTTTTTACCCAAGTATAAAATTACCACCGTCGCCGAAAACGCCACGCAGTGAGGGATGAAAGGAAGCA